CCCGTGCTTTGCGCTCCGGGGTATGGCGGATAAGCCCCACGCAAGAAACCCTAACTCTGTACGCACGCGTGTCGCGGGTCTTGAGCGCTACGGCGCCGCCACCCGTTTTGTCCTCCCTCTTCTTCCTCTTCCACCCCTTGTCTGAAGTGCATTGTCTTAAGTTTTTTTTTTAGTTTTTGACTTTAAAGTTTAAACTCAAGTTTGGTAAGATTTTTTTTTTTTTTTTTGGAGTAACGATTATTGTCGTGTCGGGAAACGGGCCCGGCGTCCCTCACAAAGTTCACCGCAGCACACAAGCTGAGCAAGGCTCTCCGGCCAAGCAAAGCCAGGGCCACGACTGTGGCAAAAAGAGCAACCCCTTCCTCTTGTTTTCTATTCTACTACTTGAACCCATTTCTTAATCAGACTAAAATCTAAAAACGCTATAAAATCACCTATCTCACAATAGCTCTATTGTCACGTAAAAATAAGCCATAACCCTAGTCTAATGTAACCTCATCACTAATCAACCCATTAATCCGCAAAGCAACAAAACAAGCAGCGAGATGCCAGCACATCAACCCTAATGTGATAAGAGATTAAAATTTGTGAAAACGCCATAAGACTGCACATTTCACAATAGCCCTCATATCACTTGAAAAGAAGCCCTAACCCTCGTCTAATGTAGACTTGGCACTTATAAAAAAGATACTAACACAATAGCCCAAAAGGATTATCATTTGTGAAAACACCATAAGACTGCACATTTTACAATAGCCCTCATATCTCGTGAAAATAAGCCCTAACCCTAATCTAATGTAGACTTGGCACTAATAAAAGAGATACTAACACAATCGCAATAACCCATGCCATATGTCTCGTGGAAAGACTGAGGGCCAATTCGGCCGCCCTCAGCCCAGGCCGAAACGGGGGCAAAAAGGACCCCAAACAAAGACTCAGGGCCTGGACGTGTGACAGTTGACTTTGGTCAACTGTCGTGACCCCAACAGTCAAAGTCCAAAGGTACCTAGCCCAGGCCACTCGTCAAGCGCACACACTTGTTCGTATGCAGGTACCCAGACAGCATCAGGTCCAAGGGAGAAGTCTGCAACTGTACAATCCGGGCCCTCAGCTGTGAGTCGATCTGGACGACTGTGTGAAAAGCACCCGAGGCCAGACAGCTTTGACAACTGTTACTTCAGGCTGGCATCGAGTGAGTCAAGCATTCAGTCTTGCTATGCTGCTTTGACGCTGGCTCGACTTTGACTAGACGCTGGCATTATGCTAGCTCGATGCTGGCAAGACGCTGGCTGTGCACTAGCGATGCGGACGATGGCACGAGGTGGAGGCAGCATGCTGGCGCTTTCTGCATTGTGCGCCAGACTTGCTGAGGTGGCATGCTGATGTGGCGCTACCTCTGGTCGACATTGCATGCTGATGTGGCGCTACCTCTGGTCTACATTGGCTGCTGAGGTGGCGCTACCTCTGGTCTACATTGCCTGCTGATGTGGCGCTACCTCTGGTCTACATTGCATGCTGATGTGGCGCTACCTCTGGTCTACATTGCAT